ATAGAGTCCGATCATCGCTCCCCGCGCCTTCATTGGTTCACATTTATTAATTCATATCTCAATAAATATTGCGAATTTTGCAAAATGGTATATAACTTTTCTGTTCAGAATAACTCGATCTACCTACACACGTCGGCTTTATAGTTCGTTGTCAGATACCCCGTATATATTTCTTCTCTTTCAGAGAAGAAAAACATGTTTTGCGATGCGTTGACGTATTTTTAAATTTGTGACTCCCAGTGTTGTTTTGTTATGTCTGCGAAGATAACCAAATAAATACGGTCGAACCTTAGCGACGTTATAGCAAAAAAAACATATTTTGCGGTGCGTTGACGCAACTTTAAATTAAGCCTCTTGCACAACGGAAGAAATAGCGATAGCGATAGAAATAACACCAGTTTTAAAGAGTTTATATTTATAAATAACGGTAGAAACAGCGGAATCTAACATACAAAAATACACATGTATCAATGCAAATCAGAAAATAAGCAATAGCAATAAATTTTCCGACGAGTTGGAATTCTATGTCTATTGCTTATCGGCGATAAGTTATCGCTATCTTAGACCATATATACTTATAGACACGGCCTGTATATATGAATCCACGAGTCGAGGTGAAGCAAAGATAATATCATCTACGTGACGTCACATGTGGGCATTGTTCGGTTAAACGCGGCCTCGTAGATGATATTATCTTATCTTCAAGGCAGTTATCTGAAGCCGTCTATAAACGCTCCTTTGCTTTGCCCACATGTGACGTCATGTAGATGATATTATCTTTGCTTCAAGATAGTTGTCTGAAGCCGTGTCTATAAGTGTATATGGTCTAAGATCGCTATCACTATTCCCTCGCATTATGCAAGAGGCTTTAGTGACCTCCAATGTTGTTTTGCTTATCTGCTGAAAATAACCAAATAAATACGGTCAAAATGTTTAGAAAAAACATATTTCCATATTATTTGCATGAGATCCTGCGCTTCGGTTCTATACAGCTGAGTTAACCTTTAGGCTGCGAGGAAATTTCAGTACAAATTGACCTCTCAGAATATGTAAAATGTATACATAATATCACTGGATATCTCAGATAGAGTCGCTGACCTGACTGCTGGTCCATATATGGACAGACAACGTAAAGTACAATGTAAAAAAATTTGTCTCTTTTCTTATGAAGATTCGAGAGGGTATTTCTATGTAATTTCACGCGTTGAATATGAAAAAAATAGTAACAAAATTCTCGCAGACACCCTTGACCTTGAAAATCACCATTTGAAGATCAAATTTCATTCCTACTATAAGTCAAGTTTTGAGACGGTTTTCGTATGTAGTTCGATGTGCTGAATACGTAAAAAATAATAAAAAAAATTCCTGTTGATAATCCTGACCTTGAAAATTTCTATTTCAAGGTCAAATAGCATTTCTCGTATAAGCCGAGTTTTNAAAAGGCTGTCGT